AAGACATCATTCCACCAAGGACTCCAATAATCAGAACGACCATCTTGACAGAGTGATCTGGATAGAGTCTGCGGAGTTCGAAGAGAAAATCTCGATATTTTATCCGTTTTTCCTCCTCTTTTCTGACGATATTCGTCTCGCCAGGAGCTGAAAACTCCACGACAAATATCTCGACACTTTCAGATTATTCATTTTAGCCGAAAACCTACAGTTTGTAAAAAACTTGATAAAATATTAGTTACCGTTTTTGCAGGCTTTGTTCAACCCATAAAAATCTACAGGGCATTGAGTAGTATCAGTGTAACAGTTCCTCGATAGTATCTTTCCAGGTGAATGGATTGGAGTGAATGGTCACCTAGACTCCCAGAATTGTCTCCATTGGACTTTTATTAGGGAATGATTAAAATCGACAGTCTACGACACGCTCCCCAATACTGTAGATGAATTACAAAAAAAATCACCAGGCGTGATAATTTTCAAGATATAAGGGACGAAATAGTCATTGTGGGCAAGTTAATGGTGATCAGTTCGAACACTTAATGGAGTGACTTTTTTTATTTAGTTTCTTTCTAGTTCAAAATCAAATACAAACTCAAAAAAGTATTTCATTTTTGTCTGGCATTGTTTATCGTTGTGAGGTCAAAAATGTTACAGGAATGGAAACAGAATTGAAAGACCTTTGAAATGTGAATTATTATGTGAAGGGGATGATTACCAAGGGGGTGACTTTTAGGTAGAAATAAGTCTCCCCGACAATTAAAGTTCACGTGTTCCAAGGTTTTTACAGTCAGAATATCAAATGATTCATTCCTAGTGGCTCATTTCAACTGAAATTCACATAAACTCAAAAAAGTAGGGGGTTCGAAGTGGAACTTTGCAAGAGGCCCACAGATATACAAAGTAATATTTTTTTAATACAAGTTTTCATAAGAATCCATTAAGCAGATGTTCACTGGCGATTTGTTAGTAGTCACACTCAATATTGAAAAAACTGACAAATTACTTTTGTTATGCTTTCGGGTTCTCAAAACCCATTCTAGTTCCTGTTTTCAACTGATGAATAATGAAACGAAAACTATAGAGTTCAAGGAGAGCATATTCATTTCTTCAATTCCTTTATTGATTATACCAAACATATTTATAACTGTGATAGGTCATTATTCATTAAGTTTATAATAATCTGTTTGATGATAAGTCAAATTCATTAAATCTGCTTTTCGTAACCATTTCTACGGTATTTTCAAGTTTATTATTGGTGATCGAACGCACTGTTTAAATGTGAAGGTTAAAAATTATAATATTTTCAATACATTGATGGTAAACAAAAAATGAACATCAATTGTGAAATTGAATTTTGTTACAAGTCCTGAAAAAAAAAAAACAAGAAATTGCTGATATTTTCTCTAGGTATGTTTGTGTGGGCAAAATACATATATATCTTGGAATCTACATCATTGACTATGGGGTCGTTATTCAAGTGTATATGTATATCGATCGTAATGGAAATTGATATTGACTTGGTGATTAAATAACAAGGAAAATGATAAGTATTTCGAGAATTCAGTCCATATAGAATAGTTCACCATTTTCACATATATTCTGTCGCAAAAATTCAACGATGAAATTAAACTTCTAGAGATGGAAAGATGAAACGATGGAACGAGCTATATAGAATATAACAATTCAGGACAGAACTAGTTATCTGCCTATGAGTCGTTGAGAAAAAAAAATCCACATAACTTCCAAATCATCAACCTCTCGATCTTACTATTTTGAAACTAGTAACATGCTATTTCTGAGCAGCCGTAAGACATTTTGAAGTTTCAATGTTCAACCAATCAGGCATTGCCCTGTAAATTTTGATAATCGACAAAACTCAGCTCATTTTACTGATGAAAATTAATTTGGTTAATTCAAAAGTTTTGTCCGTATTTATGTCATGTGTTTTGTAGCTCCATATCTCAAATATTTACTCTTCTGTTTCGTGGTGTATATTGATCGATAGAGAATTTTGTTCTCGATACATCAATGCTGTTCATTTTTTCCAAATTTGATTTTTTTGCCTCTTTTCAGTCTACGAAATCAAATTGAACTAAAGCGTTGCCGAAACAGTCCGGCAATCATAGTGTTAGGTTAGGTCCAAAGTGAGTGGGTCCATTCGACCTTCCACTACAACATGCAAGGGTTTATTGTGGTTCAAACCTATTAACACTCGACCAAATAAACCCAGCTTCTTAACGAAGCCGATTAGTTTGTATGCTGAGTGGTCTTTCAGGTCAGATGGTAAGAGTACGGCTCTGCCGAACTCTAAAAACCTGATTCTGTCCCCAGCGGGGACAATGACCTGTAACAAGGTTTGTTAGACATCGTAGTTCATCCCTACTGTAGTCCAACAACAGTTTGGTATCAAGCTTCAAAGGGTGAATAAACGCCTTGGAGTGAGCCAATCCTGGAAGATTCTGCCAAAAGTCCATGAATCTTTTTGGTATCCAGATGTTCAATCTTTGCGATGCCAACGACAGGTTCTGGTCCGATGAAGCTGCTTGCAGCACCCTCCTACGCAAGGGAATTAGCAGCCTCATTGCGGGCCAGTATGGCCAGGAATCCAAACCATAGACAATGTTTTAAGTCTTTCTATCGAGGAGAGTGGTTTTTGGCAATTTGCTACCAATTTAGACGTTGCTCGGTAGGAGCCATGAGCTGCCACCGCCGCTTGACTGCCGGAGTATGAGGTTGTATTCTTCAAATCTCTCCGCACACGTAAATTTCCGCTTGAAATACAGTAGCGTGGGTTTCTAGGCAGGTTGATATCTCTGTCTCGGGTCTTCGACTGAAAAAACCTGCACCAGAACCGGAAGGTGTTTTTGATCAAGCTATGAACCAACAACTATCTGCTCTGATAGTGTTAATGAACGCACTGTTCGACGTTGGGTTGGGAAGTATCGTTCAGAAGATTTTAGTCCCGAACATGAGCCTCGAATTGGTCGAGCTACAGACTCAGAACCAAGATTTGAGGACCCTGATGAAGAGTGACCCATCACACACGGATCGTGGGTCAAAACCTGGAAGAGTGATTGTCTCACAATTTGAACAATCAACAGAAAATGTCACGTTTCCAGATCTGTTCTTCATTGTTTTTAGGCAACCAAAACAATCCTTTTATGGATTGGAGACGTTCATGACAGTTCATGACCGATGAGCCACCCAGGTACTTCCCAAAGACCAAAATCCAACAAAAAAGACCATGGTTACTTTATGGTGGTCAGCGGCTGGTGTGATTCACTATAATTTTCTGAAACCGGGCCAAACCATCACAGCAGAGTACTATGGCAGGCACTAGTCAATAGAAGGGGTACGATCCTGCTCCACGACAATGACCGTCCGCACGTCTCACAAATCATCGTCCGAAAATTGAACGAAGTAAGCGTCAAAGTTCTGTCCAAACCACCATACACTCCAGACCTCCAAACCGACTACCATCTTCTCAAGCACTTCGATAACTTTCTCAACAGTAGAACCTTCGCCGATCAGAACCAGCCAAAAACGGCCTTCGTAGACTTCATCATTGCCTGCCGGAAAACAACTACTTTCCCGGCTAATACCATGCTGCACATTGAATTATATCCGACAGACATTTATGCATGCAAGATACCTCAAAGAGTTTGGTCTGGCAGATGTTTCGTTCATCCAGCAGCAGGACCATGCTGAAATCAGTCGAGTAGATCAGGTACATACTTGTCTCGAAGTTTTACCTCTCATCAGTGCACCATTTGATTTGATTGCATGGATTTCTCGTTTAAATTTACCGGAAAAGTAAGTTTGTTATAATGAAAGAACTGGAGAAAATTGATAAACACCATTCGAAGTTATTATTGAGGTATGTAATACAGC